GGCCGGGCCGAGCCGTGCTGAGCCCTGCCGAGCCCTGCCGGCCTGGCCCCCGCCCGTGCTGCGGGCGGCTGGGAAAAGATCCCTGGTAGCAGCTGCTGCTTAGACGTTAGTGGGTCACCAGGCGCTTTATCTGATCCAGACTCTTCTCCTTTCCCCTCCGTGTGTCCGCAGACAATGTCTAGCAAGGAAAAAGGAAAGTTTGAAGAAATGGCTAAAGGAGACAAAGCTCGTTATGACAGGGAGATGAAAAACTATGTTCCTCCCAAAGGCGAGAAGAAGGGAAAGAAAAAGGACCCCAATGCTCCTAAAAGACCACCGTGAGTGTCTCTATGACCAGGGGGAAAAGAAAAAAGTATTAGTTCTAATAGTCTGACACTTGATTTTAATCACTGTCTCTCATTTTAGATCTGCGTTCTTCCTTTTCTGTTCTGAACACCGTCCAAAAATCAAAAATGATCATCCTGGCTTGTCTATTGGAGATACAGCAAAGAAATTAGGAGAAATGTGGTCTGAACAGTCAGCCAAAGATAAACAGCCATATGAACAGAAGGCTGCAAAACTAAAGGAGAAATATGAAAAGGTAGAGTGAAAGTGATAAAATAATAGTTAAAGTTGTAGAGGTCACTGTAAATGTGAGACTTCTGTTTTGCACCTAAACCTATATGGTTCATAATTCTAAATGTTTACGTCAACCTTTGTCAGGCTTCAGAATGCATGGAAAGGTGTGGTGTAGCAGGTATCTGGAACCCTTACAATGAACCTGGATATGGTTTTCACATGTCTAGAGATTTTACCAGTAAGATGCTTTGCTTCCAGAAAACAGGTCACCTGCTTGAAAAAATACACAGTCATACTCCAAAGCACTGCGGTCATAAAATTTTTAAAACTGGATCGTGTGTTCTCTTGCCCAAAGGTGTAAGCATGAAAGTCCCAAGGTTGAAACCCGTCTTTTCCGCACAAACTGCACAGTATAGTATTAAGTTATTGAAGCAGTACAAATTTGTCTTCGGAATTACATTGCCAGCAACTAAACAGCATTTTTCTTGCAGGATATTGCAGCATATCGTGCCAAGAGCAAGAGTGACGCAGGAAAAAAGGGCCCAGGTAGGCCTGCAGGATCTAAGAAGAAAGCAGAACCAGAAGAGGAGGAAGAGGAGGAAGAAGATGATGAAGAAGAGGAAGAAGATGAGGATGAGGAATAAGTGAATGTCCTGCTGTAAAGATTTATGCTCAAAATCCAATATTTTGCTAAGAATGTGAACTCAAGTGCAGCTCATTGTTAGCTTCAGTATAAAAATCTGTACAGAATTGTGTATAGGTAATGTGGTTCTTTGTAGGGAGACCTCTATTTTTAATGTAAGTAGTAGCCAAGGGCTGCTACAGTTCGGTTTAAAAAGAAGAAAAAGTTGTGGAATGTTTCTGCATATTTAATGGTTTTGTTGAAATTCAGTGACTGATAGCCAGGTGTTTCTTTATAGCTAAGTGAAACAAAGGAGGTAGCTTAATAGCTGATCTTATATTTTGTAGTATATTGCATTGTATTACTTTTTTAACAATTTTGTAATAAAATGATGTACATGATTATCGTTGTATTCTTGATGTTTCTGAGAGGCTGGGTACGCCCAGAATGCTGAAGTCCTGTGCAGGATAAGGCTTTGCATTGTTTTTGGGCTGTGGCTGTTGCTGCAAAACTGGCAAGTCTTGAAGTGTTAACTCCTGAAGTTTACACTGGATTGAAACTTTTTTTTCTCTTTAATCACAATTCTCTCTCCCACATACACTACCCTTAGTGGTAACTGATGTTTTTCTCACGCAGGCATTTCCTTCTATCACCTTCTGAGTGAAAAGAGTATCTCTAACTATTAAAGTACCGAAGTTGCTGATATTCCTGGATTGTTCCCCCCCACCCCAAACTACCGAAGCCAGAGGTCTTACAGTTTCATCCTGGTGTATGAGCTGATAATGAGTGAATCTTAGGAACCTTCTCTCCCAGAGCTCAGGGTCGCCGGCCTTTTCTGCTGTCCATATCAGGATAGGAAAGTTGGCTATAAGACAGATGTGGTTAGAGGTATGTCTTCCCAGATGTTCCCTACTCCTTCCCTCTCCCCTGGCCCCAGTATTAGTGGCTTCTCATAAAATACACAGCTTGCAGAACAGCATGAAAAATGTTGGAATGTTATCTCCGCACATGCCAATAGATTCCTGCAGGAAAGAGGCGGCATTTGTAAAGAACATGTGCTCCTGATATGTTCCTGTTTGTGGTGGTAGCAGTATTGCCTGTTACGCTGTTTCTTGGTTTTCAGTTTTTTCACTCAACCTTTAGTACATTTAAAAGTCTAAATCTAGATATCTAACAATATTTACAAGTGGGGAATTGGAGATCCCACAGCTAAACTAATAGCTTAAGTTTAATTTGTTGAGATAAATACGAGGCAATAGCTTTTACTAGCCTTTGAAAGCCCAGCACTGAAAAACATTTAATGTCTAAAATATTAAGTACTAAAAAGGGCAGGCTTCCAGTTTTTTGTTGTTTTTGTTTTTCAAGTGTCTCCCTATTGTCCATCAACTTTTGAAATAAATTTGCGTACAGTCATTGTACATGTGTAAGATAAAAAGTGATTTCAGCACTATAACCATGGCAAATGTCAGTGTGGTAAGGTAAAGATAATGTAGCACGTTTTGAAACAAGAATCTTGACAAAAACACTTTGTGTATGCCTGAAAGTATGGAAATAAGGTAACTAAAGGCAATTCAAACATTTTTATATTGAAGCAGGTACTAACCTTTGAAGGCCTTAGAAACCCAGAGTTGTTTTTTCCTCCCTACCCTGACCCTGAGATACTTAAAGTAGTATTGGAAGGATTAGCTGCTGTTCTACATGTTGGACCTGCCAGAGATACTGAGCACAGGCGGGATCAATAGCTGCGTTTTGCGAGCTCAGATTTTGGGAAGCCACAGGCATAAACTGGAAGTGAGAGGCAGTTCCCTGTGCAGTACAACCAGTGCGCAAGAACATTTTCTCCAGTAGAGTTTGCAATCCTAGAGCACCTTTATCCTCAACTCAAAAATTCTTCCAGCTAGAGGCAATTCCCTGTCATAGCGTGTAGCCAAGGCTACGCTGGTCTCTTTTTCAGCATATTCTGTTCAGATTTCCCTGTAGAAACTCACCATCACCTCCCCTCAGTTCTCAGACTCCCTCCCTGAACGGAACAGTGATGCTTCAAGAAGTGTTTCTGATTAGATTTAAATAATCTTTTGCAGTGGAGCAGTAGCATCAGACCAATTTGACTAGTTTGATGATTTGAAATGTTTTTTACTTCTGCTCAAGTGCTTTTAAATTGAAATGAAATATAACCCTTCAGGTGTCCTAGAAAGCTGCATGGGTTACTGAATTTTAACTAGCGTCAGAATAAGAGCATATCTGGAGGTAATTCAGAATAAAGGAGCTCTTCTAATATTTCCCTCAGTGAGGCAAAATGACTTTTGGGTTCAGTTCCCTTTAGCATTAATTGGTAATTTAGCTTCAACACAACTACACAAATCAGTGCAGAACTGCCTAATGTTGCCACTCTGTTGTCCCATGTCCTAACGATGCTCTATGAAAAGCCACCTGCGGGTTACTTTTGTTTATGATCTCATTTACAAATACATCCTGGCTGCTGGAGATCTTCATTGCAAAAACAGCCTATCGCACCGCTCTAGTAGCCTGACCCACATCAATACACAGATCATTTTTTGTGCGCGCCACGTCAGCATGAGCTGCAGCAACCCACGGCAAAGCTCTGCATCGAGCTGATCTACCGACTAAGAATGATGTCATGATTAAAGATAATTAGTAATTTTTTAAGATTGTATTTTGTCCTTTCCGTAAGAAGGATGTTGAATATAGATTAAAGGCAAATGGAAAAGAGCATGTGGAAATTACTACTTTCAAATTAAGCTTTAAAAAGTCTGGTAGGTCAGGGGGTTCAGATAATGCCCATCTGTGAGCACCGAAAGAACTAGCACTGGAAAGGACTAGTAAGTGATCAAAGTGCAACAGAAATGTTTAGAAAAGATCAGGCCATAGAAGAAAAGCTAAATTAGTTTTTCACATCCGTGTTCAATATGGACAATCTTATGAAATTACTCACTGGAAACTTTTCACTGGAGGTGAACTGGGAGGTCTGTCTCAAATCAAAACTAAAAGGGACGCCCAAAATGGTTGCAGGGAGACTGCTCACGTTGCATTAGAGGTCCAGCAAAAAGGCATACCACCCAGTAAAGCAGACCAAAAGACCACCAAAAATAAGACTGAGGTGGATAAAGAGCAGGATAAAGAGCAGAAGAACAAATGTAGGAAAGCAGTCTTTAAAAAGAAGTTATTTCTAAACCAGTAAACCAGAAGAAACCTGCACCCTGCCAGGCCAGACGCAGCAACGTGTGGCAGGGAAAAATAGCATCCGAGCAACGCGAGAAAACACACGGATTAATAACAACTTTCAAACACATCAGAACCAGGAGACCTGCCAAGCAGTCCTAGAGACTACAGATGGTCAAGATATAGTAGCAATGCCTAGAGCAGATTTCAGGAAAAGAAACCTTCTTTTTTTTAACCTTGTAGTGGAGCTTCAGGAAGTTTTCATGACAGAACTTTTTAATGGGGGAGGCATGGTGGAGCATCTGTCTCAAATCCAAGTGTAAAAGGTTTTGAAACAAAATGACAGAACAGATGGTATTCATCCAAGAGTTCTAAGGAAATTCAAGGATGAAATGGCTGAACTATGAACCGTACTTTATATTTTTTCACTTAAAACTGCCTTAGTGCTAGAGGAATGGAAGGTCACAAATACGACACTAATTTTTAGAAAGCATTCTGTGGGAACTTCAGACCAGTAATATCCATATGGCAAGTTGGTAGGAGCCACAGTACAGCCGAGAGTGGCTGGACAAATGGCTAAATAGGGCTTGTGATTTCACAAGAGGAAAGCCTGTTCCACAGACCTGTAAATATTCTTTGACGAAATCAGTGAACATGAAGGTAAAGGAGATCAGGTAGTTCTGGTCTACTTGAGTTTGGTCTGATCTACTTCTCATAAAAGAACTAAGTCGTCAATAAAGGCCTTGCATGAATAAATAGCTGGTTAACAATACAGGAACAAAATAGGAATTAGTCATCAGTTTCACCAGTGGAGGAAAATCACCAATGAAACCCCATAGGTTATTTTTGGAGATGGAGTTAATGGCTAGTGAAGACTGTTTAATATACACATAAGTGACTTGGGAAAAAAGTGGTCAATGGTGCTGCAAGAAAGAGGAGAGCTAACAGCGAAGAACTGCAAAGCCAGCCCGCAGCCTGAAGTGACAGGATAATAAAACCAGCAGGTGAAATATGGCATTAATACAAAGTGTATTAAATGTTAATATGTGCTCCCCCAACACATGCAAAGGGGAAAAAAGCAGGCCTAACGTTTATGGCATGGGTAACGAGGGTGGACAATAAACTACATTACAGTAGTCTGGAGGAGATGCTGGAGCTATAATAGATAATTCTGTGAAGACGTAATAGATGTTCGCTAGAAAAGCAAATAGCATGTTAGGCATTACTAGGTTAAGAGTTAAGAACAAAACAAATATTTAGTATTTCCTTACCGTCTTCCTAAAGCAATATAAAGTTTCCTTTTTCTTCGATCAACTTAGAACAAATCCTATTTACAAAGTTGGTCTTACTTTTCCTAAGCAAAACCTATGGTCTGAAGAACTGTAAATATGCCTCTTTTGGGTTTTTTGGGGTTTTTTTTTGGTGTGTTTTCAAAAGGAAAACCTTGATCAGAACAGCTGCAGACCTAGGAGCTGACTGCAATATATACAGGCTTTAGAACTCAAATAACACAAAAGAAAATGCAAATGGATGTGGAGAGAAAAATCACAAAAAATGGAAAAGGAGTTTTATCTTTGATTACCTAATGATCTATTGAACTGTTTTCATAACTGTCGCAGGCATCTTGTATATAACATTGGTACATAATCTAGTACTTACTGCTCAGTGATGGATTATTTGTTGTGGTGATGACTGTCACTGATCCTGCTTCACTTGCCTTACCATCCTTAGCATATATTTATTTTTGTTTGTTTTCTCGTTTTGGCTTGTATTTCTTTCCACATCTTGAAATATATATGTTTTGCCAGCAACCCCTGCACTTCTGAAATTGCTGGGCCCCTTGTATGAGCCGCATCACAGCCCTGTTTGCCTTTCCATGATTCCTTTTGAATCCAGTGTCAAGAATCCCGTAACGGAGCCCAGATGTCAAGCTTGCTGCTGCATTCTCCGATGCACGCAGCGCTTGAGGGACGCCTAACTCTGCTAACTGCAGGATGTGCACGAGATTCAGACCTACCCAGTCAAAAAGCTGACTGTCTACACAAATTTCTCTTCACCAGTGCAATTAAGTAATTGTCACAGGCCAGCACTAATTAGTGAGTGAACCTGTACGTTGCTCTGACCATCCTGATACCTTGAGATCAACTATCCCCCCTAGCCTCAGTGTTAGAGAGGCTCTTGATGTTCCAGGACTGAATATGGAGTCAACCACCAGAAAA